ATAGACTGTTTGCCAACCAAAGCTAAAGAACCCAGTCTGTCCTGTTATTTAATCTATAGCTGGGAGCAATAAATTTTTCTAAAACAAATTACTAATGTTCCAAAGAAAATTAAATTTCGGCATTAAATGACCCATAAGGAGTTGATGTGCCGCTAAACAAACAGTTAAAATTATTATCCCACAAAATTTTGATATGCCGAAAAACAAATGAATGAATCCTTTATTTAACCAGTTGTTAATACCAGGAGAACAACGTTTGTGATAACAAACAGTAGTTGTACTATTTAAAATAAAGTTTTTGACTGTTTAAATACAAGGATTTATTTAGAAAATAAATAAATAAATTTCGGCATTAAATAACCCAGTTGGTTGATATGCCGTAAAATAAACCAAACCAAGTTTAAAATCGATCAATTTAAAGGAGATCGAGAAATTCTTTTTGATCATTCTGTGTGATTTTACACTTTAAATTGCGTATCAGGTATCGGGAGACAAAAGAAAATTCAATATTAGGTCCTTGATTGCTATAATAGGGCCCATTGGCGAATTTGCTATGTTTAAATTATTTTGACAAAAGGCAAAGAAACTGGGGCGTCTGTAAGTTTCGGATTGTCCTCACCAGTGACGAAGCCCAGGAAATAAGTTCATTACAAATTTGTAGTCAAATGCCATGAAATGAATTTTAGCAATTACTGATGAGTCAAAACGATTCATTTAATAAGGATTAGATGGCGTCAGAATGGGAAAGATAGAGGAGTTATTGCCAGCAATACATTTTCATATTAAAAGGAATTACCCAGCAATGAAATATATTTTTGTTAAAAAAATAAATAAATAAATAAAATAAAATAAAATAAAATTAGCAATACATTTTGGTAAATAAATAATGTTTCCAAGAAAATTAAATTTCGGCATTAAATGACCCAATCGGTTGATATGCCGTAAACCAAACTAAACCAAAGCCTAACTTCAGTGAACCGTATGCGAGTCGGTGTTTCAATACGATATGGCCGGTAATTATGTGGGCAACGTGGTTCCCTTTTTTTAGATAATTATTACCATGAGGAAATAGGATGATGACAAATTCGATAAAAGGAAAAAAAGATTTTTATAAAGATATTTCAAACTTTTGAAACAAGGACATAATGGAATAATAAACAAAAAAAAAAAACCCAAAAAACTGTTATTTACCGAACGAAAAATACAGCGACTAAAAAGTCGTGCTAACAATGAACGACTAATGAAAATGAACGAATGTTCTCGTTATGAAAATATTTCATTGCTTGAATGTCTCTCGTTATGACATCTCTCTCTCTCTTCTCTCTCTCTCTTTTCAAAGAATTTGCAGTGTAACTTTATCTGGGTGGAAAATCCTGATTGAATTCAAGAGCAGGTGTGGGTCGGTAGATGGTAAAAGATTTTTGAATGCTCATCTTGTGTCATCCCAGTCTGAGAAAAAAGCCGGCCTTTTTCAATTTGCCCCGCAAGCATCCTGTCTGACTACACTCTGTCAGGGTCTTTCCGTGTGGACATTAAATTCGGTTCGTCTACCCTCAGTCAATATTGATATGAAAACCTGCATTTAAATACACATTACAGGTTCGGTTACGACTATCATTAAAATGGAAGTTTTTTTTTCTCATGTTTGCTATTTTCTTTCTTTCTTTCTTTCTTTCTTTCTTTCTTTCTTTCTTTCTTTCTTTCTTTCTTTCTTTCTCCCCCTCCTTCCCCCCGACCACCCTTCTGCTTATTTTCTAACTTTTCTCTTCTCGCTTTTATTTCTCTTAGCCATTTACTCCGGCTTTCTTTTTACAATTTTTGGATACTTTCTTTAACATAGCCCTTTTTTTCTTTCCGTTGTTCTTTCGCCCCTTTCTCTTTGTTTTCTCTCAAACTCTTTCTTTTTATTCTTCCCTATTTCTTGCGTTCTTATTACAACATCTATCTATCTATCTATCTATCTATCTATCTATCTATCTATCTATCTATCTATCTATCTATCTATCTATCTACCTCTATAGACACGCACCCAAACGAAATATACATTATAATCCGGCATAGACAAAACTAGAATTATGGTACACCTACACATGATTTGTACATACAAACGCAGCTTGACAAGATTATTGCACGTGAAGCCTGCTTAACTAATGAAAAACAAACAGAAAAATTAAAAATAGCAGAATTCTCTTTTTCTCCTCCATTTTCATTTTCTGATGTGTAAAACTTCAGATTGAGTATATCTGTACAAGAACAATATGAATCTCTGATTAACTTTATCAAGACAAATGCAAGGATTTTATTTTGCAACAAGTATTTATATACAAGAGTAAAAATGCTATAATTTAAAAAAAAATATTTAAATTTAAGAACACGCATAAATATTCATCAATTTAGGAGAAAAGTCTAGACCAGCTATGCAGGACGCCAAGTAAATGAATGTTGTTCTTGAAAAATATTATTATCTGTTCATCAGTCTCTTTTTTCTCCACACACACACACACACACACACACACACACACACACACACATATATATATACATATATATAATATATATATATATATATGTGTGTGTAATTCTATTCTTGTCTAAGTCTATTCATATCTATCTATCTATCTATCTATCTATCGAGAGAGAGTATGTGTGTGTGTGAGAGAGAGAGAGAGAGAGAGAGAGAGAGAGGGGAGTATAAGGAAAACAAAAAAGAAAGAAGAAGAAAGAGTGGGTGGTTAAAGGGGATTCCTCAAAGTAAAGCTATATAATGCTTACCAATAAAAGAGAAACATAAAACTGAGATAAAAGCCTGTTCAATATAAAAGGATTCGTTCGATCTGTTCGCTTCTTTTGCCAAAGGCTGTGTATTTAATCGCAGGATATTTACAACTCTCTCTATACAGTCTAGGTATAGACGGAAGTATATTTCTCATACAGGTGATATCATCTAATTATTATTACATTACGACAACACACCTTGACCAATAAAGCTTACTGAACAGAATTGTTAAGCAATTCTAACCAGAGAAGTTTCGAGTTCAGGTAAAAGTTAGAATTTTCAATGTTGATGTGAAAGACGACCATCTCTTAACTCTTTGGAGATTGACGCAACACAATCTTCCTATTCAGATTTTCTCCCGAACTCAAATGATATTTTTTTATTTCTAGAATATATATATACATTGTGACAGAGCCTTTTGCTTTTTCCCGCGGTTAGTGTTGGAATCCAGATTAATAGCTGGTATTTTGAAACTAGGAGCTCTATATAGTAAAAAGCCTAGAAACAATACAATCTCCTGTATGTCCATTTTCTTAACATCTGGCTTTGTGTCTGAGTAATCATAAGAAGTAATCTGTTGCCTGCCGTAAAGCGTTAGTAAGTATAATCGACTCGCAAGCCATTGATATTGTAGTTCGAACCTTGCTAGATACTTCACTAGTAGAATCAGCCTAATTCTCCATTTTTCTTTTTAAATAAGAGCTTTTTGTCCGAAAGTTTCTTCAAAGAAACTGCAACATTATGAAATAGACTACCGCGTGGATACTTCCCTGATCACTACAATTTTAGCCTCTTTAAATCTAGGGGCAATACACAGCTATTCGCCATATACAAGTAATCATCACTTTCTACTTTTTTCTCCTCTTGGGCACCTCGACGTGGTGTAATGGTTAGAAAGCTTGCTAGATCAATTACGACTGAGTAGTGAGTTCAGTCCTCACTGGGTGCCCCACACTTTCGACCATGTGGCACATCTAAGTCGGAGCTTAGAAAATCATATGAGCACCCCGAGGCGGTGTAATGGTTAGCAAGCTTGTTTCGCTAGAACAATTACGCCTGAGTAGTGAGTTCGATTCTCACTAGGTGCTCCATACTTTCGGCCTTATGCCACATCTAAGCTACAATTGGAAAATCACTACTTTATTCTCTTACGTATAACAAAGCTTATTCAGTGTCCCTCTACATTGAGCGACTTTTGGGTCTTGTTCTGGGTGAACTTAAGTAAAAAAAAAAAAACCGGGCTAGACATTGTAAACATCTACCATAGAGCCAGGTTCTAAAGCCATTAAAGATCGTAACTAATATCCTAATTACTTTGGCCTTGTGCCAGACAATATTAAGTTTATTTAATCCTTACTCTTCTGTCCTGTCGAGCGATGGTTAATAGATGGCTTAATAGCACCTTAATTTCTCAAGCGGTCATCCATTCAGGTACTGACCTGGCTCAACTTTGTTGAACTTGACAGGAACCGTTGTTTCAACGTGATATGGCCCTAACCGTCCGTAGCTACTACTCATATTAAAATAACAAGAAATGCGATAATAAACACCAGCTTAGATAATAAAAAAATAATTATAAAATGATAATTATGTGTGCTAGCGACAGCAGAAATGTTTCTCGAAGTTGAGAGATACAAACTACAGCGTGGGAACAATCAAAGATAAATCACTGATGGGCGGGAACTTGTCCGATCAAACTGATATCACCTCTAGCCGATCTATTAACGGGAAACTTATTTCGCGACCGCAGAACAACAAAGCGAGACGCATATCTGCCATGAAACATTCATGACGCCGACGTATCCTCAAGGGTGGAGTTCCCTTTACGGGAGACAGCGATCGAGCCGTTGTAATTGATGTGTCACCACAGAGAACGGTACACTCTTAGCGTTAAAGACAACACGTACGAAGTGGTGAGTCGTAGAGACTAGCGGTTCAGTCTTATTATCTTACTTTTTTAAAATTTATTTTAATTGTTCTTTTGCTTTTTTTATTCCTTATCTTTCCTTTTAAAAACGTTTTCCTCCTGTCGACAAAGACTAGCTAAAATTGACATAAGAAACGTATTTGTTTTGATTCTAATGGCATTTATTGAAACATTGGTCGGGCAATGATTTTTAAAAGCTGCAAAGAATGTTAACATATTCGATAAAAAAATTGTTTTGTGTCAAATTATGTTGAATTAACAAAACATCTATATGCCGTTTGGTTCTACAAAATTACGATGGAGAAAAGCATCTATCTGAGTGTTCATTATCTATCTATCTATCTATCTATCTATCTATCTATCTATCTAAGTCTCTTCATTATCTATCTATCTATCTATCTAAATCTATCTATCTATCTATCTATCTATCTATCTATCTATCTATCTATCTGTTTAGGTACCTCAAAAGAAAAGCTATTCCTAAGATTTAAAATGAATTTTTAAAAATGAAAAATCTTTCTTGACTATTTTAGTTTTAATTCAAAGCATTTTTTATTTTACTATTTTCGGTAACCATGTGTCCTGTTTTATCAAAAAAACAAAAATAAATGATTAAAATCTTCCAAGGTGTCATGCTTATAACTAATATAAACATTAAGGCCTACAAGAATGAATTCCTCAAAATTTCTTAAAATTAAATAAGATGTGGGTAACAGAACTATAAAAGAAATATTTCACAAATAATTTCATTCATTTATGAATAAATCCTGAAAGTTTCATTAAAATCCAAGAATTATTTTATTTTTACAGGAATTTCCAAATTAATGCTTTTTTTCACCACAAAAAATACGTTAAAATTTCTTATACTAATTTATAGTTAATCGATGACGTAAGAAAAGTATTTTACTAAAATTTTTAAATAGTATTAGAAAATATGATAAAAAAATCAAAATCTTTGATCATTCGCTTAAAAATCACATTGAGATTTTGACGAAAAAACTTATTAATTTTTGGGCATATTTCATCCTGTATACTCATTTTTAGTGAGTCATTGGACACACAAACACACACACACACACACACACACAATATATATATATATATATATATATATATATATATAAAAGCGTGCGCAATGAGTGATGGTGGTAATGGAAAAGTGCTCGATAAAAAACAGACCTAAAATTTATACCATATATATATATATATATATATATATATATATATATGTGTGTGTGTGTGTGTGTGTGTGTATGTGTGTGTGTGCGTGTGTGTGCGGGGTGGGTGTAAATACAGGGATCAAATATATACGGAAATACAGAACTTATCCACTGGGTCATGTGTCCTAGGACGCTTGGTCGAGTGGATAAAGGACACGTAGTTCAGTTGATAAAGACTTAGGTAAAATCCAGTGACTATCCGCAAAGAGTTGTGAGTTCAATTCCACTCTACAGCAGAACCTGAACCAAAAAACTTGGCGAGTTGAGTTAAAGGTTCAGTTCGAAATTCCAATCACCTGAAGAAGGCCGGGGCGTAAACGGTCGAAACGTTGTGAATATGGCGATGAAGATGAGGATAACAGTTCGAATAATATAAATAATGCAAGTAATCATAATACCTCATCTCAGAGATATAGAGGCCGAAACGTTGTGAATATGGCAATGAAGATGAGGATGAGATATAGACAGATATTAAATCTTTAGTACTTTCTCCGCTAACCTTGTGTTTCTCGCAATGAAAGAAAAGAATGAAATTGTGTGACTTATGTAAAAAAAAACCTTTAATATTTATTCTATGTCTTTTCTTTACAATTTTCTTGTTCTTGTTGAAATTTATTTACACAATCTCCCAGCTTTTCTGCATTGAATTTAAGATAAATTTTTCTATTTTCAAAATGGTTCGAAAGCAAAAGATTCAGATTGACTTTTCGAGAAATGAATGAATTCGGTCAATCCTTATAAGAATCAATTATTCAGAATGAATTGAATAAATAAATGGGTTATATATATATATATATATATATATATATATATATATATATATATATATATATATATATATACGCACATACGCGCAGAATGGTGTACGCGCGAACACACACACACACACGCAGGCATGCAATATGAAAAAAATCTTGCACCAATGAAAAGTGCATATAAAAAAAAATAAAATCCAGAACTATAAGCAGATATCCCTTGATGAGTGGACGGAGAAATTAACAGAAATTAATAGAAAACTTTGGAGTCAAGATGCTGAAGATAACAAGAATCAGCTGACAATTCTTTTACTTGTATTAATTCTACCTCTCTCCACCCTCTCTCTGTATATATATATATATATATATATATATATATATATATATATATAGCGTCCTGGGTAAGACGATAAACTCTATCCGCGTCCTAGGTATGACGATAATCTTTATCCAGCAGCAAGGACTCTGATCAGGAAGTTTTGGGGAGCGTGGAACCACCTCTTAATTGCTGGTGTTCCCAGGTCCACCCTGACCCGGGGTGGTAGCATCTGTTTGGGTCCCAGCCATAGGCAAATAGTTAACCCCCAAAATTGCGTGAAAACACCATGAAAGTATAAATAATGGGTTTACCAACAATATATTTTTTGAAAAATTATTACCAGCAGTACATTATTACCAGCCATAAAAATGTTAAATAACCCATTGAGTTATATATATATATATATATATATATATATATATGAAAACGGTTGAAACGTTGTGAATATGGCAATGAAGATGGCGATAACAGACCAAATAATGTAAATAATGCAAGTGCTAATGATTTATCGTTTAAGCATAAGTAAAAATAGTCAAATGAGTATAAATAGTCCAATTTTAAAAATAAACCAATTTGTCTGATGATCGCAAAAGCGTGTAATCCAGGGTCACGAATTCATATCCATACAACTGAATCTATCTATCTATCTATCTATCTATCTATCTATCTATCTATATCTATCTATCTATATATATATATATATATATATATATATATATATGCAGTGTAACCCGGATATAAAAGACCCGGATATAAAAGAAACCCGGATATAAGAGAGATTTTCTCTGGTCCCAAATTAGAGCCTGTATTAATGTATATAAAATAGACCAAGCCCGGATATAAGAGAAACCCGGATATAAGAGACTTCTTCTCCGGTCCCAACAACTTTCTTATATCCGGGTTACACTGTATATATATATATATATATATATATATATATATATATATATATACAGATATGTAGAAAAATAGGAAAGAACGCGTTAGGTCAATAATCCGGAGTTCTTTAGTATTTTTGTTTTTATTTTTAAAAAACAGTGCTCCATACAGAAGTAGAGCTTAACTGTGGCAATTCTAGAGCTAATACATGTGACACAGGCCGCGATCGGTCGGCGCGTCGTCGCCGCCTGCGTGCCGTCACGTGCATGGGCACCCTCGTCGACCGTTATGGGTCCCGGCGCTCCATATTAGACTGAGACCGATGGGCGTCATTCCGTCCTCGAGTCGTGGTCGCCGCCGTCGTCTTTTCCCTCTGGGTGATGGCTCGGCGGCTTTCTGTGACAGGGCCAAAGGGCGGCGCCCTCCGCTTTGCGAAGGAATCATATTTTTTAAAAAAATAATTATAACACACACACACACACACACACACATATATATATATATATATATATATATATATATAATCCTTTCTTGATAAAGCTGAGAATTTTTCACCATACGTTTGTAAAAGACTTCCTAGACGGTATGGCAAGCGCCAAGATTATTTCATATTGAATTTAAGGCAAACAAATTCTTTGGCATAGATCTATTATTTTTTTTTCTTGTCTCCGTTCGTGATCTTTGTAACTGCCAATGGCTTTTTACTGATTTTGATAAATAAAATTGCTTTCTTGGGAAACTTTAATTTCGCATTGATCTGTATGCATCAAAGATAGCAGATAAGTTTCACAAAACCAAAGGGAACATTGTCGGCGACAAATACGTATTGAGTGAAGTGTTATTCAAGTCGCTGAGATAGTTTTCTATCTCAGTATGTTGGCACAAGATTGTACTGGTGGGAATCACTTACTAAGTTTAACTTGGATTAATGTCCTTTGTATTTGGTACCCAGTGAGAACTGAATTGACTAACAGTAAACCAAAGTAGGTCGCTAGCCATTAAAATCACTAAGTTAACCAAAATTGGTCGCTAGCCATTAAAATCACTAACAGTGAACCAAATTCGGTTGCTAGCCATTAAAATCACTGACAGACAACCAAACTAGGTCGCTAGCCATTTAAATCCCCAACAGTCAAGCACAGTAGCTCGCTAGCTATTAAAATCACTAGCAGTCAACTAAACTAGGTCGCTAGCCATTAAAATCACTAAGTTAACCAAACTAGGTCGCTAGCCATTAAAATCACTAACAATCAACCAAACTAGGTCGCTAGCCATTAAAATCGCTAACAATCAACCAAACTAGGTCGCTAGCCATTAAACAAAAAAGGGGAAGGCAGTTGCACTGCTGGACATATTTAGACAAAACATATTCACACATACAAAGGAAGAGGGTGAGAGAAAGAGCAAGAAACTGATAGTCATAGTCAGCACCGTTGCTTGCATCGGATCATCGGGATCGTCATCCTCTCTCCTTATTTCCTTTCTTCCCTTTAGTGGCGGCAATGGAGATGGCTGTGAAGTCCCAGCCTACTTCTAAAGAGTAGTCAACGAGAGTTTGACGAAGTTATTCGTGTGGATTTGACTTTAGTGGACAACTCTGCGCAACGGAGAAGTCCACACCCTTGGGCAGAAGCACCTCCCTCGCGGCTCAAAGGGTATTGAAATCTGGCAAATCTAGTTGCATAGGGCTGTCGGATGCTTGATCTGTCAAGGTCCACCTTGGTTTTAAGCCAGCCTGACTGGCGCTGCTCTCTTCCGCCGTTTTGTCCATTGATACTGTGTAAATCTTTGCCTATTCCGCCTGAAAAAGAGGAACTGACATACATGAAAGAAAGACAAAAGAGTCTATGTTTATTCTTTCTTACTTTCTGTCTGCCCTTCACTCTTTCTAACCCTGCCCTTCCTCTCTTTATATATATATATATATATATATATATATATATATTACATAAAAGATTAATTGGCAGAGTTGATTCTGACTAGGAAACAGTATTAAAAAAAGTGCTCAATACACGTGTGAAATATAAACTAAAAGTAAAAATAACATGTTGAGCTTTTAACTTTAAAAATCAGGAGGTCAGTTGAATCCGCTGACTTGGTTTATCAAATGACCTCTATATCCGCTGTATATTTAAAAAAAAAACAAAAAAACTAAAGAACGCTATATTATTATTTTGAAAAAATAAATAAACAAACGAAAATAATAATAAATCGTTCATTATCTTTTTTTTTTAAAGTGTTAAGCGGTCGTTTGATAAAAATCGCCTGAGGATACCGTAAGTTTGAAACCAAGGTAGCTTGGTAGATTCAACTGACCTCCTGATTTTTAAATCTAAAAGCTCTACATGTTATTTTTACTTTTGTTTTTTCACATGTGTATTGAGCACTTTTAATACTACTGTTTCCTATCTATCTATCTATCTATCTATCTATCTATCTATCTATCTAGTGATTTAAAGATTGAAAAATTCACCGTTAAAACGACTTGGGTCTCATGAGGTGTTTTTTTAAAAATATTTATTAAGAACCACCTGACGAGACTGTAACGTTGAAACCCGGGTCGTGTTAATGGTGAATTTTTCAATCTTTTATATTACTATTATCCGCACTACACATTTAATTTATTAGAATTGTGTATTGAACATTTTCTTAAAATATTCGTCTTTTGATCTGACTCCGGTCTAGCTAAGTAATTTCATACTCTCATATCACAAAAACATGTTATAAACCGCTACATAAATGCAATCACGTTTCGACATGTATGTGCCTCCTCAGTGTCGATACATGCCTGCAATTATGTAGCGTTTTATAACATGTTTTGGTTATAATTGTTAATAAATATTATTAATATTAAGCTCTACTCTGTATTAAACACTTTTTTAAAAATATAATGTTTGGACATTGGTATTAACCTACCTTACACTTGAATATATATATATATATATATATATATATATATATATATATATATATATATATATATATATATCATGATGATATCCTGATGATATATATCATCATCATTGATATCATATCATAATGATGTTCATCATGAATTAATCATAGCTAAGGATCGGAAGCTCATGAAGGATTGATATTAAGTTCATATATATATATCTATCCAACCAAATATATATATATATATATATATATATATATATATATATATATATATATATATATATATATATTAATATTATTCCAGGATCATTTTTCAGTTTATTCATGATGATTTTCACCATCTCTAAACTTCTAACTTTCTGTCCCAGAGTAGCAGGGTCCCTCACACATTTTACGTACGATTTCATTTTCAAGTCTTTTTTTATTTGACTGTCATAACTGAAATTCCTCTCTCACGTGCCAAACTTCTTATGGTTTGAGTTGGATCTTTTCTAATTGATCTCTTTAGTTCTAAGTTGAAAGGATGATCCCTCTTCCTGTTGGGACCTCCTGATCCAGTTTTCCTCTCTACTTTAAAACATATTCTCTGTTCTCTTGATGGTTCTTGAATGTACTTTGAAGATGGAAGCCAGAGTATGAATGTTGGTACCATTACTGAAGGCCTGAATGATCTTTTTCCTCTCACCATTGCTCATTTGGAAAGACAGTGGTGCTGACACAAAACGATTTTAACCTGTTCTCTTTCTAGCTGAATAACTCAAAGTGTTTCTCAGTGAATCTTACGACAAAAGGTATCAAGATGGCTAAACTCCTTATCTGAAAACCTGGAATAAAGAAACTCAATTAGTTTAATGTTTTTTTTTTTGTTCTTTTTTTTTTTTTAATTATTAAACATTTTGTTGGCTGTACAATTTTGCTGTTACACCCGGTATATATTGGTTGACTGGTGCGTTTCTTCAGCGCCCACAAAGCCAATATGTGGTTTATACTGCAACAATACTGAGCAGTGTTCCGTTATATTTTCTGGGAAAGAGCGCTTATTCTGTCGTAATCAACAGTTTTTGGACAAAGCCAGTGTGCTCAAAGCCTCGACAACGATAGATTTTAACTTAGTTCCAGCACAACCATTGTTTACCTAATTTCATTCGCAAGGATTGTCAGTTGTCAATTCGAGGTAGGGTTTGTCAGGCACTCGACAACAACACGCAAGTATTTTCTCCATAGAGTGATGTTATCAAGAGATCAGCTACTAGACAAATCAACCTTGGTGAGATCCGAATCTGGGTTTATAACTTTCGAATCAGTCGGCTACTAATGCATACTAATCTTAGTTAAGTCGGACAAATGGTAAAAGGAATAGAAAGAGGAGACAGGAAGACAGTAGTACGTCAATCTGCAGATTGCTTAATATTCTTTAAAATAAGATTGATTTCTTACTTTTTTTGTAATACTGATCCGGACATTTAGGAGAGTGACTCGATGTGTTTTCTCCGCTGACATGAAGTGGAAAATTATATTGGATCCATTGCTAGGTCAGCTGCTAAGAAAGTCAGTTCATCCAGAATCTATCTTACATATCTATAAGTCTACCATTCGTTCATGCTTAGAATATTGCTGCCACATATGGTCCGGTGCTCCTCCTTCTAGAGCTCCTTGATAAAATCCAAAGAAGAATCAGCAATTTTATTAGTTTCGATCTTGGCTTCAGTCACTTTTCCACCGCCTTCTCTTTGCCTCACTTTGCCTTTTTTCTAAATACTTTCGTGGTAATTGTTGGGATGATCTCTTCGCTATAGTAGTTTTACTCTCCCACCACCACTGGCAATGAATTGTACATATGGGGATTAGTTAGGACATTTATAGAGACAATGCGGTATTATGGTGAATGTAGTAAGAAAGCCAAGTAAAAATGCGTTGTTGTGGTGTAAGGAATATTGTTGTATGTTTCGGTCAGTGTTTGTGGCTAAGTTTAGCTTTAAGACAGAAGAAGACCATCCTTTTCCCCATTCTTCTTTTTGCCCTTGTGCCACATTTTGTATTTTTACGAATAAATATCGCACTTCGTTATAGTGCATAGACTCTTCGAATTTAAGCATAGTACTAGTTTGGTGTCGAGGTCTCACCAATTTACAGCTGAGCTGGCTAGATGTAACCGGAAAATTTTATGTTAAAAGTTTCTTTTCTCGCACTTTTCGCTTGTGGAACCCCTTTCTGGCTCGATGTTTTTCAGTCAACTTTAATCTGCAAAAATTAAATGTACTGTCAATTGCTATCTGTTGTCCTCTTAATTACTCTTCCTACGTTCTCGCTCCTTAGCAATATTCCTTTTTCTAACTCTTCCATATCCAGTAATCCATTGCATCTTGGTGGCTTTACTGCCTTCTAGGGGCGAAATAGATTCAAAAAAGGGCCTCTATCACTTTGAAATGCTTTTTTCAATATGAGTTTACGTTTCATAGCAGTATTCTCGATGATTATATTGCGTATTTAGGTTGATTCCATGGTGGTTTAAAATGTGTCCGCATTGAGCTTTGGTCGGAGAGATGTAGTGTTAGTCATTTTGACTGGTGTGTCCTACATAATTATCTATGATTTTGTTTTCATCGGAAATCCAATTTCCTATGGAGCGTCTAAATTAACCCATCGAGAACACGAATGGGATATGTACCTACACTGCAAAATCGCTTAAAAGTGATATATATATATATATATATATATATATATATATATATATATATATATATATATAAAGAGAGAGAGAGAGGGGGGGGGAAGGGTGATATAGGTATCAGTTGCGCATGAAGAACGAAGGCCGCTTTCAGTTTTACAATTTAATTCTTTTTATAATTGACTGAAGAATTAAAATGTATAAAGCTGAATTTTTAAAAGATTTTTTAGCAACATTTTTATTCGTGTGATTATTTTTTTTTTTTAATAACGCCTTCCTGAAGAAATGAATCGGTAGGAGCGGCCAACTGCCTGGACACTCAGTCTTCCCACTTCAACCTGTTTGGATTCCAAAGAGATCATTTCAAAACATTTGTTAACTCATTAAGAGTTCGTTCGATGAACGAACTGAATCGAAATAACATTAGGAATTCAAGGAGCAACGGTGTATCAATTATGCCATGTCATCTTTGAGTTCGAGAATCGGATTGGAAAATGGCGGTTCTGTTGAGAGATAGCGGCCATGTTGAAATATCACAAAAACACTTTATTAGGAAGAAAATCTCAAGACGGGGACTCTTGTATAATTTTACGAAATTGTTTCTCCATTTGTCTGTATTTAATTTATTAAAACTGAAAAGATTGTCTATATAGAGTATTCCTAACATTTCGACGCGTTTTATTAACAGCTTTTCGGCAAACAGGGACATTCGTACACGCAGAAGAAACAGAATGTCAAAAGGACGGTATTTCCCATGACACCGCTTTTATTTAAACAACTTTCACTCTTTGGCAATGTTTATTGTTTTTAAAAGCGACGATTAGAATTGTAATTAAACCTAAATATAAAATGAAAGTTGTCAGTGTTGACAACCAATCGCCTTCGGGGCTTCAATGCCATGTTTTCTGTATGGATTTACTTCCATAGCCTTTTACGTTTTTTGGATATAACCGCAAGGCGGTGGAGGTTTAAAATCAGGTTTTTTCTTCCCTTAGATGAACAGCCTTCATGGGTTGTCGAACTTCATCTACCTGAAATTATTCACTAAAATGTTAACTTATTATTCATTATGCCATGTCCCTTCAGGACGTTGTCAGTGACCCTCCTCCACATCTTCCCATCCGTGGTAGCACTTAGCAACGTTTTTTCTTTTTGCCACCCCCGGTTCCGCCATCCATTTCCAAATGCTCATCAGGTAGATGACCCGCTGCCTTACCCTGTCCTTTTTATCGTTGACATATTCTGTGTGTATTTCAGGTAAATGTTTTAGTGAATAATTTATTATTTATGGTCTTTTCATTTTTACTCCGAATAATTTTTATTTCATTTCTGAAGCTGGTCAAAATCGAAGTTATATGACTTCAATAAACACTTTAATTTAATACTAATCCTGGGTACGACGGTAAACTACATCCGGCATCATGGCTACAAATCGGGAGATTGAAGGTTTTGAGGAGCATGGGACCACTTCTTAATTGATGTTGTTCCCAGGTCCACCCTAATCGGGGTGGTAGCACCTGTTAGGGGGTCCCAACTATGGGCAAATGGTAAACCCCTAAACAAAAATAAAATCACTATGAAAAGTATAAAAATACGTTATTACAGTGATGATAGCGTCAATATATTTTTTAAAAGAAAGTACCAGGAATACATTTTCATAGTAAAATGACCAACAATTCAATAGTAAAAAATACATTTTTTTAGTAAAATTACTAGCAATACGTTTTTATCATCTACGAACTATCTAAAAAAACATACCTTTATCATTGTTATATACCTATGTACCTGTGAACACTAATGGGTATGTCCCAATCCTCATAAATACATTGGAGACTATTGTAAGTGGGGGTAATATGCTAAGTAGTCTACCACTAGCAGTGGTTTATCTACTTCACGCGGCTTGCGAGTATTGTATTTTGTTGATGTCATAAAGTTTATCATTTCATTTTCAACCTTCATTTTGGTTATTCTTCATTCAGTGACTTTTTCTACGTTACACCAATCTATCTATCTATCTATCTATCTATCTATCTATCTATCTATCTATCTATGCTCATTATCTATGTCTGATCATTATCTATGTTATATACTGTAAATAATGGGTATATCCCAATCTTCATAAATACGTAGGATACTCTTGTAAGTGAGAGTAATATGGTGTCTAAGTAGTTCGCCACTAGCAGTGGTTTACCTACTTCACGCCGCTGGCGAGTATTGTATTTTGTTGATGTTATAATGATTAACATTTCATTACCAACCCCCGTTTTGGTTATTCCTCATTCAGTAAACTTTTCTAGGTCCAAACAACCATGAAAGTATAAAATGATGTACAAAATATCTGTAGTTGAAGGCAAAAAATTCTGTTCAAAACATATGTAGTGAAGCCATAAAATTGCATAGAAAATATTTAGAATTCGGAATTAAATAACCCATAGACTTGTTAATATGCGGCTAAACAAAATCAACCAAACGAAACCACATTAATTTTATAGAACTTAGTACAAAACGATGAATTCAAAGTGAAAACCTTCTTCTCTTTCTTCTGGTTATTTGCCTTACCGATTCAATTTGGTGCTGTCCTAATTCTGTTATATTAAAATTAACACAAAATAAACTCGTGATGATCTACATTTTTTATTTGCTATTTTTCAACTTTTTCTTTATCGAGAAAGATCGTCACCGTATATGAAGTGAAATCTGGGATTCCATTATTGGATAATTTTATATAGTCCGCCACTATCTCGATTTCGTCATAGTTCCAATCAGACCACTGTCTGCTCCAATCATTCTTCGTCTCTTACTATTCACTCGGCTCCTACTTTTTTCATCTTTGCATAATGTTGTAACTGGGCCACTTATCCTGACTTCTGCTATTGACTCCTCCTACATATTCTTTCTTTCTTTTTTCTTTCTTTCTCAAAATATTTACATTTTCTTTTTTTCTTTCTTTTCAAAACATTCATGTTTACATATTTCGTATTCCTTCAAAATCTTCTTTCTTTCTTTCTTTCTTTCTTTCTTTCTATGCTTTTCAGAATATTTACACTTCTTTCTTTCCTTTTTTTCTTTTTAAAACTCTCTTCTTTCCGTACTCCATGTTTTTCAAGACTTTCATTCTTAGAATATTTACATTTCCTTCTTTTTTTTAATTTTTTTCTTTTCAAAACATTCTTGTTTGCGTATTTCGTGTTTCTTAAAAACCTTCTTCTCTCCTTTATTTCTTTCTTTGTTTCCTTCTTTTTAAAACGCTCTTCCTTTACTACTCTTAGTTCTTCAAGGTATTCTTTCTGTCTTTCTTTCTTTCTTTTTTCTTTCTTTCTTTCTTTCTTTCTTTCTTTCTTTCTTTCTTTTCAAAATATTTACACATCCTTACATTATTTCTTTCTTTCTCTCCTTCTTCTTTTCTTTTCAAAACGCTCTTCTTTCCGTACACCGTTTTTTTTCAAGTCATTCTTTCTTTCTTTTTCAAAATATTTCACGCTTAACTTTCATTAGTTTTTTCTCTTTTTATTCATTTCACTAGCATTATATATATATATATATATATATATATATATATATATATATATATATATATATATATATATATATATATAATCATATCACGTGCGTATTTTGTATATATCTTCATGGATTTTTATGTATTATAAAGAGATAAGTTAGGTTAATGAATAATGAATCTGTGGCGAAATGTTATGATGTAGTTTTTTTTAAACGTGTGCTAATAGTTGGTAGTATTGCTAACAATATATTTTCATAATATTTCATTTTCAAAGAGTTATGTTCTTTTTTTTAATAAGGCTGGTATTGGGGCAAGACGAGAGAGTAATAAGAAATAGTAAAAAAATATATATATATATATATATATATATATATATATATATTCTTTTTATTTCTTTTCCTTTTCATCTTTATATTCTTTCTATTCTATTCCATTTTTTGCTTCCACCAACCACCATCGCTTATTATTCCTCCATTCTGGCCCCAACCCCACAATTTCATTTTCTGATTTTCTCTTTGGTACCAATAGCTCTCAACCTGTCACCCAAACATCTTTCGTAACCCACACCTATTCTTATCAGTCTGCCCTCAAGGGACAACAAGCGACCTGATCAGTTTCGCACTTGACGCCAACCTCCAGACTCCACATGAATCTTAGAATCATTGGCCACCTACACAAGTTTTGATCTCTGATAAACATAGGATAAGAAACGGCCGAGGGCATTTTATTCATAAACAGTGTATAATATATTGCAGATTGAAATTCTTTATTTTTCTCAGGCCTAAGTCTTCGTGTCATACTTAAGCAGCTAAGGAAATGCGTTTACAAAAAGAATGAGAATCATTTCCAAGAATTTTCTTTACCTCTTCCATCATCAATATTAGCGTGGCGATTAGGAAAGAAAGAAAGAAAGAAAGAAAGAAAGAAAGGGAGAAAGAAAGAAAGAAAGAAAGAAAGGAAGGAAGAAAAGAGAAAGAAAGAAAGGAAGGAAAGAAAGAAAGAAAGAAGGAAGGAAGAAAGAAAGAAAGAAAGAAAGAAAGAAAGAAAGAAAGAAAGGAATGAGGAAAGAAAGAAAGGAAGGCGGAAAGAAAGAAAGAAGAAAGAAAGAAATGAAGAAAGAAATGAAGAAAGAAAGAAACGAAAGAAAGAAAAGAAGGAGGAAAGAAAGAAAGAATGAAATACGACAAAAGTGCGCGAAACAAGAGTGATGAGGGAAACTTATTCTAAGTTAAAACAAAATCTTACAAGTAAATCAAGTTTCGTGATCTCGATCTACCGAGGTCAGTTACACTACTAGTTTACGGTGGGGGCTTCTCGATGCCATGATGATGTTACCAGTACCTGCAGTATACTCTCTGAGATATTTTTTATATATACTAGTTGTCATCAAAGTCTTGGAAAGAACCAATAGTCAAAGCCTCGAATCGCTGATCGTGAAACACCGTCTTCGATGGACATATAACCAGAATGGAACAGTCTAGGTTTCTAGTCAAGTCTTATTCAGTGAGCTCACTTCAGGGAAAAGATCACAGGCTTGTCTTTATAGATCACTAGGACCATCACAAAACAACATTGGATGCCACTAGATTTGAACGTAAATCGTTTGAAACACAATCCCAAGACCGTACCAACTGGCGGTGTTGCATCATCTTCGAAGTCAAAAACTTCGAAGGCACCAGGAAAAAAACAAAAAACAAAAACGGAAGGCATCAAACGACATGAAAGAAAGTCTCGACAAAGTCAACCTCGTCCTCCACCAGCATTATCATGCAGTTAATGCGACTCTTCCATGTAAGAATGGCTCTACTTATTCATCAATGCCATCATCATAAAGGAAGCGATCAGCAAAGAAGAAATTAAATTATTGGATACAAAATAAAGCTGACAACGACAATATAATTTGTAGGCGTTGACGTTTCGATACGTTTTCACCTTTCCAGTATTTCGATATACTAAACTTTACAAGAGTCAGATCAGACCTAAAATCGGGTATTTTGCTTCCATGTCTGGATGGAGTCAATACTCTTTTTTGAATGTTCACTGAATCCAAAAGCTTCTACTTGGTGATGAATTATTTTCTACTCTACAACTCATTTCCTGTAAAAAAAAAAAAAATATAAAAAAATATAAATAAAACGACGCCATGTTTTCTCTATGCGATTTCCATGGAAATGTTCTGACGAGCTACATTCTCCTAGTTCCACCAGTTTAAACCTTTACAGCTAAAACCTGCCATGATACATACACAGAGCCGAATCATCCTCATTTCCTTCGTATTCTATTTGTAAGAAGTAAGTTCCTTACGGACAGTTTTTCCCATGAGCTGTTTGAAGGATGCTTGCCTGATTTTCTACAAACTTAACCGCTTTCAGTCTAGAGTCAACCATTACTTATCCTACATGTTAATTTCTGCACTTTTACTGAGTAGTTTTACATCCATAAACCACATTCAGTAACCCTTTACCTTGAGTGACTCTCGGGTCTTGTATTGGATAAACAATAATATAAAAAAAAATTTCTGTAATTCCATCAAAAAAATTTTTTTTTTTATTTTTACAGTCAACCTGGGCATCTACCTGGGAGAAGGAAAATTTCCAACGGAAAACTACATCTTTGGGACAAGGTCACAACTTTCCCTGTAATGACACGTAAATCCCTGCTCCAGATGGTCAAGCTGGTTATGTGTGTACTGCTTATTGTTGGCGACTAAACCGGCTCACCAGACCCACTTTGGTGAGGACGAGAAAGGCGATCAGCAAATAAGTGGGAATCAAAAAGACGGAAAATGACAGTCAATGACCAACTCACTTTCCTTGGTGTCTCGATAAAATCACCGTGGAGAAAGCAAAAGGAGACCACTCCGCTATCACTCCCAAGACCAATCCTAGTAATTCAGAACTTACAAATACTAAATAACGGCGTGAATCGTGTTAATCTTGGAACTGATTCTTCTCGCGTTTAGGAGGGATTCAGTCGACATCCATCTCCTCTAGCCAAGGTAAGGATTCAATAGTAGGACTTGTATCTGGAAAAAAAAATCATTGTTATTCTAAAAACACGGTTTACAAGCTGTAAAATGAGAAATCGACAGGTGTCGACCTCATCACTGTCTCCATCAAAGATCACAATCGGAATCGGATAGTGTGTCAGTGCGGAATGTTATAAAACGTAAAAGAATGGAAAGTTTTAAGAGTATGCGAAACGAATTGGGGATTTTATAAGCAACGATCCCATAATCATTTTACAGGAGGAGGAGAAGAAAAGAATGAAAGAGGAGTTGGACTAATATTAGATGAAATCACTTGAAAATAAACTGAAAGTCAAATCATTTACTAAGGCGAGCATATATGAGTCCAAGTTTTGCAATACACACGAAAACACCATTAATCACGTTAGAGGTAAATGTAAAAGTAAAAGAAGGAACAAGATAGTGAAATCATAAGTATGACCTTAGGTCACGCAACGAACGCAGAGAATAATAGGTTCATTGGTGCACAACGAAAGGCTCAATTGAATACTAAAGTGTCAGTTACATGTAAGGGATGTCAAAATCAAGCAGCTGTTGAAA